TTTTTTTTTTTTATCTTTCATAAATTCACCTCGATGAGATATTAGAGCAAAAAGAGATTCATTAATATTAATGCGATTTCCGCTAATGAATATACAAGATTTCGTCCCATGGATGGAAATTGATCGCGAAGTTCACGGTTGTTTCTCGACCGTGAAATTCCCTTCACCACTCGTGGGAATTGGAGATTGTTAATTTGAAAGAGCGCAAGGCCACGAGGGCGAAGAAGAACGTGTCGAGGTCCTTAAGGTCTTTTGTAACTCGGTCATTTTTCGCGGGCATATGGACTTAATTAATTAATCCATCCTTGCTACGGGATAATTATATCTTCGCATGCAAAAATCTAAAAAGAGAGAAACGGTTAGTAACGGGTGCAAGAGTTGGATGGAAAACGAGCGCTGATAAAAATCTCAAGTTGAACTAATTCTCAATTGAATTGGCTCGCGCGGAAAGTAAAACTTCATTTCCATATCGTTCGATTGGAAACGATTTCGTAACACGTCTCGATGTTCGATTAAGTAATAAATCATCATCGTCGATAATTAACGTTGGGCTAAATTGATAACTGACGAAGATATGACATAAGGAAGAAACTATGTAACGTCTCGAGTGAGTCATGGGCAAGAGAAAGTTTCATGGAACCCATGCACTTAAACTTTATCACCACACTTTACTCCCAAGAACTACAGACTTCACGATTATGGGATCTTGAGGTAATACTCTCTAAATACCACTTTACATCTATCAGACGATGATCAAATTTTAAACGCTTCATTTAAAAAATAATTATATCACGAAAGTGATATCACAAAGTATTCGAGAAACTTTAGGTTTTCCGTTAAATTTTGAGAGAATTTCTTCCTAAAAAAATTGTGCGAGTGTTAATTGCAATTATATACATTAATGATTATTTAATATATATAAATTATCACAAATTAAATAATTCCAAAAAACGACGTAGTCATTCGTAAGTTCTTCTTATTCGTCAAGTTTATGATTAATCACGTATGATGTCAGATGATCGATTCGGTCGATGGCACATCAAACTAACGGGCTTTCAATCTATTACATTCTATCAAGATTTCTTCGTCCAACATCTTTCAAGGTGAATCAGATGCTCAGTTGAGATAGCCTGTGAATATATTCTCCTATGAAAAAAGAACGAGGATCAAAATGCAGATATAGGATATTCCAACGAACCCAGTATCACGCTCGAACAGAATTTGTATTGCACTGCACGGTGTCCTTCGCCTCTATTACCATGCTCGGCCTCACGTGTCAACTAATGAATTGTGCACAAATTTACGTTGCTAACATGTTCTTCGTAATTCGCGATATTAAATCGCAATTGCGAGAATGGAAAAACGAAACGATAACTTTGGAAAAATTATTAACAAAGAAAAATTAAATTCTATGATCGTTCAATAATTATAATCGTCTCTTGAGAATTCTTATCTCCATCTTTGATTTTTTTCTTCTAATACTTAAAAACGGACTTACTTGATTAGATTAATCTCTACATCATCATTATATTTTTTTTTTCTAATCTTTTCTTATTCCATATCTGTATTCCATTCAACTTATATTTATTTATGTTAAAAAAAAAACTTACTTTCTAAAACTCGAAGGATTATTTCGTTCGTCGATCTACTCGCATTTCGTCAGTCACGAAACGAAGATCCACGCGCGGAGATTCGAACGACGGAAGAGGAAAGGTCAGCGGACGTGAGATTTCCTCGAAGGAGGCTGGAAGAATCTGCACGATCGTTAATCCACCAACATTGATTGTAAAAGCAATGGGGAGGAAAATATATAGCGGTAAGGAGCGAGTGTTCCTCGAGATCGCCTTCAGCCATTCGTTCCTAAAACGGAAACCACTTTATAGTGTTTCCGGTGGCTAATGCAGATATCCTCCGCGCGGGGATGAAGCACGCCTATTTTTAGGCCTCGAGTATAATGCCGCACATTCATCGCACTTGGTTCACGGAAACACATGGCTATAATTGTTATGTCTATTTTGTAACGAAACATGGTTCCCTTATGGTGTATCATGGGGAGGGACGATACACGGGAATTGAAATAAGAATTCTTTTGAAAAATATCCTAGGCACATAAGGGTGTGCTGTGTTTTTAATTAATTAAAATTAAAAGTAATTGCGTGACTTTTGGAAATTAATAAAAAATGAAACGTTTTATCAAGAATGGAAAATTATGTTTTTTGGAATTCTCGAAAGCACTAGTATGTAATTTATAAAAATGGATATTTTTATTAAATAAGTAGTAGATAGATAATGAAAATTTTATTTGAAAAATATTATCTATTTGATAAAAAAAAAAAAAAAATTAGGAAAGGTAGATTCAACGAACTATTTACCTCGAACTATTTGTGCCTTGATTATCGTACGTTATATTCATATTGTATTTATCGAATAACGAGAATCCTATTATCATCTCTTTTGTCGCTATATGTACGTGCAATGTTTCGTATTAGAATATGAATAATACAATTCTATCGATGAATAATATGATTGAGTAATAATAACCAGACAAGGCTTATCAAAAGTTTGAATAATAATTACTCTCTGCAATTTTTGCTATTTCACACTTGTAACAGTAAGAAATGATAGAAATGATTGATCTAATCTAATTGATAATAATTATAAAAGGTTTGTGAGATGAATATAAAATACCGATAATAATACTATCGTTGAACTCTCATCAGTCCGCAATTAATATTGTGCGCCAATTTCTAGCAATGATTAATTTTAGTACAAATTTAGAATAAATTATGTGAAATATAGCACAATTACAAACTGATAACATATTTTATTAATCGTAAAAATTGAAAAAATTACCTCTCGAAGATCTTTTCATTATTAGAACATGACGAATCTCGATTTCTTTTTCAGTTCGTTGGATAAACGTCATTGTATCAATAAAAAAAGAAAAAAAAATAGTGAACCAACCATTGCATTCCAATAGCGATAAGGATATCTTCGTATTGAACATACGTTTCTCTGCCATAATGAGCGTCCTTCAGATTAGTTGCTTGCTAATTGTTTCAAGAAAAAAAAAAAAAAAAAAAAAAAAAAAAAAAAGAAAAAAAAAGAGTGAACCAACCATTGCATTCCAATAGCGATAAGGATATCGTCGTATTGAACATACGTTTCGCTGCCATAATGAGCGTCCTTCAGATTATTTGCTTGTTAATTGTTTCAAGAAAAAAAAAAAAAAAAAAAAGAAAAAAAAAACAAGCTCGAAACCAATGTACAACAAACCCTTTGTATTTCGCTCCATTTTTTCCCCTCCTTGTTTGATATAGGAGATGAGCGTACCGTTTCTTTTTCTTTTTTCTTTTTGAGAATCCAGTTATTTTCCGTCGTATGAATACTATATTCGATGATGACACGATTCTGTTCCAGTTTTTTTATCAATTACTAATTAGGAAAATTGAGATTGCCTCTTTTCTTTCCATTATTTCAGTAAAGTGTTTTTTTTTTTCTATTTAACGATGATACGATTTCACTTTTAATATGCGTTGAAGATAAACGCAGCGAATATATTTTTATGATGCAATATACTGATGCTTTTATATTTTTCCAAATAATTTTAAGATGCAATTTTTATAAAATATTCGCCTAATACAATAAACGGTAAAAATATATATTTCAAAAATTATTTTCCTTACCGTATCATCCAAACATTTACAGTAAAACTAATTTAACCCAAACATCATGAATGAACTTGCGTAAACTACGTGTCATACTACTGTTCGATGTTATGAAAGAGTACAACGTACAAGAATAGACTAGTGATTCCTCGGCGTGTATCATGTGGCCAACCTAGAGATATTAGGATGGTTATAAAGGTGATTCGAGGCGAAAGGATAAGTGTACCATGGCCGGTGGGTTTCGTCGAGGGACGCTCCCTTCTTTGGCAACTGGGTCTCGTTTTAATTCTCGGAGGAAGGGATCGGTCGGCAGCTGTTGCTTCGAACACGGTTCCCTCCGAGGCGAATTCGATGGAAACGCGGCGTATGCTCAGGTGTGACGAAAGGAAACAATCTTCGACCGTATCGAAATCGCGATAATCTTCTTGCAAATTCTTTCCTTGACGTATCTACGATTTGTCATTTCCGTTCACGATGAAATTGCCGTTTAGCAATCTTTTTCCTTTTTTTTTCTTTTTTTTTTTTTTCTTTTTGTTACTTAAAGATGACTCGATTTTAAACTCTGCACGATCGAGAAGAATTTTCTTAATCTTATTTATTGTGTTGTTTGAATCTGAAAGAACAAATTTTAAGATAAAAGTGAAGAAATCGGGAAATTTTTTTTGATACTTTCATTAAATTGATAAAAAAATTTTTATGATAACGAAACGCGATTGGATTGAATATGATTTGAAGAAGATTTTGCATTTTATTTACGTAAAGATTTGATATTGTAATAAATATTGGAGTAAAGAAATAATAAATATACGTGTAGAATAATCATTTGGTAGATAGAACATAAAGATTCAAAGATTAGATAGGAAACGAAGATTTATGATTATAAAGATGATCCTATTATTTTGGAGGATTATATTGAAATTGAAATTTTATGGTTTTTGTAATTTTTACTTATCGGAAAAGAATTCGATTAATTAAAAAAGATTATATCATTTTACTTTCAAGTATTAGAGATAAAATTCTCATATAAAATTCTAAAAAGAAAAATTCTTAAGAAGATTAGAAATATTAAAGAATAATTTAATTATTAAAAATCAACAATTTCGAATGTCAAAATCACATCACGATTTACCTGTGAACAGCTATTCTTTCACGCTCTGCATTCTAATTATTCATTGGGATTATTCTCCAATAAGTGTCATGAAATATCTCTGACATGAGCTTTGTAATCTGCAGACACGAATGATTGTCACGTATGTACATACATAGATACATACAATCTAAGTTAAACCTATGAATTATTCCAGCGATCCTCAACCTCCAAAGAGTCAAAATATTTACCGATTCTAAATTCCTTCCTTAATCTTTTGAGTAAGCAACAGACAATCAGACTTGATTAAATATTATTTTAATTTAATTTTCGGTCGAATAATAAAAAAGTTTATAAATTCGTTGCATCTTTCTATTTTTTAATAAAAATATATCTATTATATCATAAAAAAAAAAAAATAAATTCAACAGAAACGATATCTCGAATCTAAAATTCCTGACAGATCGAATAAAAAACCTGAAACATGGAATTTAAATTAAATCTCGGCAATCAATATCATCGAATTTCTCTCACTATATTTTATCAGAACAAATAATTCATTTATCTTTAAGAGCATAGGTGCAATGAACTTCGTAATACGCATGCGCAACCACCCTTACTAGGCCGAATTCCGTAAGGGATGGGGTCTCCTCAGTAGGTCATGTATCATCGGACAAAACATATATGTATATGTATTAAAAAAAAGAAATTTTTTTTTTTTTTTACCTTTCTTTGCGCTTCCGCTGCAAATCCAGATTTAGTAGCCCTGTTGTTGGCCATTTCGTTCACCTTTGATCCGTTTCACTAAAAAGCAAACTCACAAACAATCGAAATCGTTATCGACCGTGCCACGATGTTCACCGTTCAACGGTTGCGGCTCGACTGACGCGCCTTAGGATCGTATGTCGATCGGCGAGAGTTCTTTCGACGCTTATTGGCCAGACCGGCACTGGTCGAGTATTGAGTTTTCGTTTGACGTCGCGACACGTGACCTCCGTTCTCCAGTCTGGCACGAGGATGACGTCAGACGTCGTCTCTGACGAATTCCTGGAGCCGTTTTCGTATCGAAAAATTTCTGTATCAGCGAATCTAGAAGATATAGTTATGGTATAAAAAATAATATCGATTATGTTTTAATTTAAATAGGCATTGATATTTTTTTAATATTTTACGAGATAAAATTACGACGAATGGCACTCCGTAAAAGCAACAATATTTATATTTTGGAGGAAAACGATATTTAATCGTCGAATGATAACTTTTTTTAATTATAATTAATAACTTTTTTTAATTATAAGATTTTAATGTAGCAAGAAATTTATAATAAAAAAAAGAAATTTAAATATGAATGGATATTGAAAAAAAATTAATGAGAAATTCTAATCGAAACGATCGATTTTAAAAATTATATATAAATAAACAACATTTTTTTACAAACATTTCTTTCTTAATTTTTTGTTGCATTATTAGTGTTTGATTTATGTGCAACGTGTTAACTTCGAATATAGACTGACGAATTCTTTGAATGGCACTCTTTATAACTCGAAAGTATCAAAAAATTTTATCATAATGCCATAATCATTGAAGAAAAATTTATTTTCTCTGTGATAGCGTTTTCAGGCCTTCAGATTTTCGAAGAATTATTAACCATTATTTATTTATTATTAAAATCATTTATTTCAATTTTATGATTCCTTTTCCATTATTATATTATAAAAATAAAATATCGTACTTTATAAAACAGGATATAGAAATTTTTATAAAGCGAAAGAATGCCAGCTAAGTCGTAGAACCTACGATGAATATAGATTGTATAGAATCCTTCGTACTACCTTCATCCTGACCACTTTCTCAAGCCCCTCTGTTGCTTTAAGAAGTTGCGTTCAGAACTCGTTCTGGAAACGGAACTGGCAATAGAACAACAAAGAAATTTTTATGCGTGTATTTTATTTCTATTTTTCAATAAATCGTAATTGAATCCATTTGTCCCATGCATTTTTAAGACAAATTTCTTTCGAAAGAAATGTTATAAAAAAAATACATCAAAAGATATAAGTATCTTTACGCAATAAATCGAACGTATATAAATTTTCTTTTATGATTATTATTGCATAATTATTGCGCATAATTACTATATTTATGCAAATAATATCAAGCAATGATTAGATTGTCTATTTTAGATTCTTTTGTCATTTATATAATTTTACGTTTCTACGTTTTCTTTATCCAAAGTAGAAGTTGATTTTTCAATATATTTGTTAAGATGTTAAACCGTCCATCCTATATATTTCTTCTATAAATTATACATCGTACATCGTGATCGTGCATCGCTTTACTTGCATCTCCACTGTATTCTAAGGACATTCAGTGGCCCGTGAGAAAAGCATTGCTGTAACAGAAGGAATGCATGGAATTTAACTTAACAACGAGTTCTTCTCCATGAAATTTTGCAAGAATCTATACAAATCATCGTGTTTTTAAATTTTATCCTTTCTTTACGTGATATAATTTGACGAATCGTTAATGATATCTGAATTATTTTCCTATTTCAAAAAGTGGAAATTTGTTTCTTTTTTTTTTTTTTACAACAGAGATGATTACGAAAACGCAAAAATTGATTTTGTACAAGATTAAACGTTATGCGTTTCATTCGGTAATCGGTATGCAATGAAAACGTGCCATAATAGGGAACAGTTACGCTCGACCTTCTCCGATCTTAACGTACACTAAATTTTCTGCTTACGTATTTTCGTATACGTGTCACGTATCGATGACTCAATCGACTGTACTCGAAGACCAGCTAACGTATGATTTACACAGGCATCATGAGCCCGCAGAATTTCTTCGTTAAG